CCTAGAGGCAGTTATAAACCACTCAGTACAGACAAGAATCCCAAAACTCACCAACTGGGTATCTTTTGTGGAGGGTCTGTGCCTGAGTCTAGATGAACTCCCTTCTGACATAACTACAATAGAAGAGCTAGAGGCATCATCTGACAATCTAACAAATGCGATGAAAGATTCCTATGAGAACAGTTGTCCCGTAAAACAGAAGGCAGTGATGTGCCTTGGTGGAACGGGCAGCTGAGACGTCTGAAACAAGATGCCAGAAAACTGTTCAACAAAGCAAAAACTAACGGCAACTGGGCAGACTATAGAACAGCCCTAGACAAGTACAACCGTGAATTAAGAAAATCAAAAAGGAAATCATGGAGATAATTCTGCGAGGGGATTGACGAATTAGCCCCAGCTCAACGTCTCCAAAAAGTTCTTTCAAAAAACCACTCAAACGGAATTGGTCAATCCAAACGGAGAACACTGTACCGACCATACAGAAAGTCTAGAGGTACTACTACAAACTCACTTTCCAGGTTCGGTAATCGTTGAAGCCCTGAACCAGGTCACTCCGCCTATCGAAGGTCCACAAAGCCCTAACGGCAGGAGCAAAAGGCTGGCTGGGAAAATCTTCACAATGAACAGAATAAAATGGGCGATCGATAGCTTCAGACTCTACAAATCTCCAGGCAAAGACGGGATTTTTCCCGCACAACTGCAAAAAGGCTACGAGCACTTAAAGGTACACCTACAAAAGCTCTTTAAGGTTCCCTCCTAGGGCACATACCGCTATCTTGGAGGGAAGCTAATGTGATATTCATACCAAAGACGGGTCGCCGACCCGAGGACGAACCAAAATCATATCGTCCCATTAGTCTAACCTCCTTTCTCCTTAAGACAATGGAGAAAGCAATCGACCAGTACATCAGAAGCGAAACTCTATTGAGAAGACCGCTCTACTCGAAGCAATTTGCCTATCAGCCAGGCAAATCCACGATAAGTGCTTTACACTGCCTGGTTAAACACATTGAAAAGACAATCGAGTTCAAAGAGAGCGCTCTCACAGCTTTCATCGACATAGAGGGTGCCTTTGACAACACCTCACATCAATCAATCGCCAGAGCATTACAAGAATGGGATGTTGAAGTTCCAATTGTAAAATGGATAGAGTCGATGCTGAAGCACCGTCACGTTACGGCTGAAATTAACGGAGCATCAGCTACCGCTACCACGGTCAGAAGGTGTCCTCAAGGGGGTGTTCTTTCTCCGCTACTATGGACACTGGTGGTAGACAAAATTCTTACCAGACTGAGTAGTGCTGGATACCAGGTCATAGGTTACGCAGATGACCTAGCCATCGTAATCAAGGGCAAACATGAAGGTATAGTGACAAGCCGAACGCAAAGTGCCCTAAACATCGTTAAAAATTGGAGCGAAGGCGAAGGACTATCCCTAAACGCAAACAAAACAATCCTTGTCCCGTTCACAAGAAGAAGGAAGCTAAATTTGAAAGCCCCGACCCTTAACGGTACACAACTAACATTTTCCAACGAAGTGAAGTACTTAGGGGTCACCCTAGACCAAACCCTCACTTGGAACAAACAGTTAGAGAAAACATGCTCTCGAGCTACATCAGCCATTTGGTCATGCCGAAGACTTGTCGGCAAAACATGGGGGCTAAAGCCAAAGATGGTATTCTGGATCTACCAAACCATAATAAAGCCTATGGTCGCATACGCCTCATTGGTATGGTGGCCCAAAACCCAACAAGTCACCGCTCAGATTAAGCTAAGAAAGGTGCAAAGGCTGATATGTCTAGGAATAACGGGAGCAATGTCAACTTGCCCCACCGCAGCCCTAGAGACGCTACTCAACATGCCCCCACTTCACCTATGTGTGAAAAAGGAGGCAATAACCAGCGCTCACAGGCTATTCCAAATAGACAAGTTCAAGCATGGCGATCTGAGGGGACATCTGAAAATCGTTGATCTAATAACACTGGAGAATGCCAGCAAACCAAGTGACCACATGATGGTCAGATTGGACTTAGAGATCCCCTTCGCAGTGGTAATAAACGACCGCCAATCATGGGAGAATAAAGAACTACCACAAGCAGACAATGCATCTCTGTGGTACACAGATGGATCCAAGCTAATGGTAGGAGCTGGACTGGGCATTTCCGGCCCTAACTTCAAGCTCTCCAAGGCATTGGGTAAACATCTTACAATATTTCAAGCCGAACTGCTTGCCATAGATATATGTGCACAAGAGTGTCTCGACCAAAGCCTCAAAAGAAAACACATCTTCATACTATCGGACAGTCAAGCTGCCTTAAAAGCCTTGAGGGCTTTCAAATGCACGTCAAAACTAGTCTGGGAGTGTAAACAGACCCTAAAAACACTAGCGACACATAACCAGGTAACGCTGATGTGGCTGCCTGGTCATCGAGGCATAGAAGGAAACGAAGAGGCAGATGGCCTCGCAAAGGAAGGGGCCTCAACACCATACCATGGACCAGAGCCCTACTGTGGCTTAATGAAAAGCCACATCATGGAAGAACTCAACAAATGGGAGAAAGACCAACTGTCATCATATCGGAGGCACACACCGGGACTCAGACAGTCAAAAAGGTTTATTACCCTTTCAGCAAAAAGAGCTGAACAGCTCCTAAGCATGAGCAGACCAGACATCAGATTGGTGGTGGGACTGCTCACAGGACACTGCCCAGTAAAATACCATTTAAGGTTAATGGACAGAGCAGAAGACGATCTCTGCAGATTCTGCTCAGACGCAATAGAAACCGCAGAGCACCTGCTCTGCGAATGTCCAGCCCAATTCTGCAAGAGGCTCAAATTCCTCGAGGGGGCAACACTGTCACCAGAAGAAGTGGGCCAACTGACACCCAGGAAAATAGCTTCCTTCGGCAGAAGTCTACGCTTCCTGGAGACAAATTAAGATGTAGAGTCACGCACAAAATATCTGCAAAGGTAGCAGTGCTGAGCGGCTGAAACGCCGAAACGACTCCCCCGAAATCTACAATCTACAATCTATATAAACATATGTCCGGAAACGCTTCCTTTCCGAGATACAGGGTGTAGAAATTCTAAAAAAAAAAAACTATTTTTTTAACATAATTCATACCACTTTGAAATTTTGTACACTGGTTTCAAGCAACCAAAAACATTTTCTGATGTGGAATATTTAATAAAAAAATTACCAGTGCCGTCACAAAACTAATTTGAAACTTTAGGTGTTTAATGTGTAGGGAAGGCCGGCGATGTTAGTTTACAAAATAAAAGAAGTTGCGATTCTATTTTAATTAACTTTTATTGGAAAAACTGGCGATTAACGGTTTGTTTCGTGGCACGTGGTTGTTGTTCTTCTTGATTCTAGAAAAAACCTGGTCTCTGTCAAAAGTCAGAAATGTCATTCATAAATGACATTTCTATTACGTCACAGGACAGGGTTGCTACCTTTATGGTTGCTACATAACCTAATGAATGCTTCAATATGGCGCACAGATAGGATAAACACTATGAAAGTAAGGAAATTGCTAAATTGCTTACAAATGTTTAATATTTTTATTATAATTTTGGCGATTTCGCCATGCATCAAAATGTTTTTTTATTTTTTTACTTTAAAACAGTGCATCTTCCGGAAAAAAGTGAAGAGATCAAATTTGTTCTAAATTGAATGGGGATTTGAAAAATGATTTTTATTTTAGAAAAAAGCAGTGACGCACCATTTTTTTCTTAAAAAATATTCCTTACAAATCTGGAAGGACGCCACTGGTAATTTTTAAAAAAAATAATTTCATATCAAAAAATTTCTTTTGCTGCTTGGAAGCAGTGTACAAAATTCTAATGAAATATCTAGAGTGGTTTGAAAATTATGATAGAAAAATAGTTTTTTTCTTAGAATTTCAACACCCTGTATCTCGGAAAGGAAGCGTTTCCGGACATATGTTTATAAAGGTAACTGGGGCTTATTTTTGACGTAGAATATGCCATAACAATTTGGTGCATTAATTTCGGAACACCCTGTATATTGTTTTTCCTGCAAAATATTTCATACAGGTTTCAGATAGAATATAAAAAAATAACATGATAACTTCTCATAAAAAAAAATTCTTACGGCTCCCCCCCTACGAAGTTACGTGCCCCTAAAGGACGCCACTGAAAATCGGTTTTTTGTTGATAACTTTCAAAATACTTCGTGAAATTTTTTGTTCTTTTAATATGATGGATACTCGATAAGACCCCTTAAAATGGACCCTCTCAAACACACTTGGCCAATCTAGTTTGCCAGGGACGGACTAGCTTAAACACAATAATGCTAATTTTTTTTACACCCTGTATGATATAGGCATTGCAATAATATTTTCAGATAGTTTCAACCTTGAACTAGAAAAAAGGTACTCTTATTCGATGTCGAAAAAATAAGCTGGTTTCGAGAAAAATCTGTTTTTGTGTATTAATGGTTTTTTTATTAAATACCTAATTTTTTATGTCGACTCAACATGAGATCCTTCTAATCTTATGCATTCCATACCCATTTTAATGAAATATTGTTCGACTCTCGACAATGCTTCAATATTAGCCCTTATTTCGCAACAGTGAAAATTAATCCTTTCTACTAATATTTCCTCAGTGTCATTATTGCGTTAAAGCTAGTCCGTCCCTGGCAAACTAGATTGGTCAAGTGTGTTTGAGAGAGTCCATTTTAAGGGGTCTTATCGAGTATCCATCATATTAAAAGAAAAAAAAATTACACGAAGTATTTTGAAAGTTATCAACAAAAAACCGATTCTCAGAGGCGTCCTTTAGGGGCACGTAACTTCGTAGGGGGGGCAGTAGGAATTTTTTTTTATAGGAAGTTGTCATGTTATTTTTTTGTGTTCTATCTGAATCCAAGAGATTGCCCACATATTCTGGGACACCCTGTATATAAGACAAAATAATTATGGAACATATGGCGCCCCATACTATTTTGTACTAGAGTTTTAAAAATTCACTTACGCACAACCCAATGGTATATCACAATAGGTGCTAAACCTTCATAAGGTGGTTTTCCAAACGTGAAAAGTTCCATAAGAAGTATCCCGTAAGACCACACGTCCGACTTTGTGGAAAAAGTATTTTCACTCAATGCCTCTGGGGCTGTCCATTTTAATGGAAATTGGCCCCCTCGGGCGGTGTAAATTTCGTCGTCGATTATCCTGGACAGGCCAAAATCGCAAATTTTTATATTTTTGTTGTCGCCCACCAACACATTCCTTGCGGCCAGATCTCTACAACAAAATAAATTAACAACAAGGAAACCAAAATTGGTCCTAAGTTAAAAGGCACAAGTTGGAGTTCTTTTAACTCAGGATTGAATCAAAAATATAAAACGATAATTGGATACGTACCCGCCTTTTAACCGAGGACATAAAACACACTATATAAAACTAACCCGTGAGCTAATACGCAAATATTTGTTAGGAGAAAAAACCTTAGATATAATACGTACCTATGTATCAAATTTAAGGATTCCAAATGAGCCATTCCGCTAGCAACTTGACTAGCAATGTAAATTAAATCCTCGAATTTCAAGGTGTGTCCTTGGTCTTTTTTCAGGTAGTCCAGCAAACTACCGTTCGCCATGTATTCTGTTATGATGTAGATGGGTTCGCCTTTTGAACAGATTCCGTAGAGTCGGACCTGGATGATTGGAAAAGAAATTACAATTTTTTTTATATTTAGCACAGATTCATAGAGAGTTTAATGCTCTGATGATTTTTTTTCTCTTTGAAATGGTCATTTGAAGATGATGTTGGATTATTTTCTGATCTCTGAATTTACTAAAGCTAATTTTTAAACTGTTGATTACAGTTGTTACATATACATAAAAATACCGTAGTCAGTCAAGCGAAACTTAGAGCAAGGACCTAGGATGTCTTGTTGAAGCTATCGAGATAACTTGGGGTAATGCAACGAATTACGAATTTATTAAAACTGAAAATCCTTATACAGGGTGGGAACTTTAACTGGAACTAATTCGCTAGAGCCTTCGAATAAAATATGTGGACAAAACGCAGAAACACGTCGATTAAGATTTTTTGCTTAAGATTTTTTCACATTAATGTAAACAGTGAGCAGGTAAAAGTTGGAATAAAATTTATAAAATATACAGGGTGGATATTTTTCAAAAAACCTCGGACACGTCAATTTTTGATTTTAGTGGCCGTTTTTTTTGATGATAATACCATGTATACAGGGTAACTTAAAAACAAGTTATGACAGCTAACTTGCAGTTTCTGAACCTATTTCATGTATCATGTCCTATACCTATCTTCAACTGTTTCGGAAATATTGACAGTTGAAAATTGACTTTTTTGCAACTTTGACAGGTTGTAGAACCTAAACGGTTAATTTTAGAGCAAAACCGATCATACATTCTTATCTTAGTTTTCCATAAACTATCATTTGACTATTTGACACCAATTTCGAATTTAATCCATGGTTAAAAATTCCGGCTAAATTTAATCTTCGGTTAAATTCAAAGTTGGTGCCAAATGATAGTTTATGGATATGTATGATCGGTTTTGCTCTAAAATTAACCGTTTAGATTCTACAGCCTGTCAAAGTTGCAAAAAAGTCAATTTTCAACTGTCAATATTTCCGAAACAGTCAGTGGCGTATCAACCCAGCTCCGGGCCTGTGTGCCAAAATTTCTGCGGGCCCATCACAAACTAACCCAAATTTCGACCCAAAAGTCGTTCAAAAAACACTCCTTAAATTTTTTATTAGGTATTTTTATTTAAACGTTGAATTGTGAATTCACCATTTTCAAAAGTGGTATGAATAATTATATCCTGTTCACAATCCGATGTCCAAAGGTGCAGGTAAATTTATCACCATAGGCGCAACTAGGGGAATGCTTGGGGGTGCTAAGCACCCCTAAAGCAAAAATTAGCACTCCAATTCGGCATCCCACCATAGCACTCCCTAACACTTATATTAGTGCAACCAAATTATTTTATGTATTTTTTTTGCACTTTTTGTACTTACTTACGTCATCGATGACGTCATAATTTAGTTGATTAATTCATAGAGCACGTTCGCAATTATTATTGTTAAAATCAAGACTTACCTTAAAATATACGGTTTTTATCTTATATTAACATTTAGGATGACGTCATCGAACAAGGTCAGACAATGTTGTCAATGTCTATGTTTATTCTATATCTTAAGGTGACATTGAAATACCGGCTCTTAAAAAATCATTGGAGTCCGAAATATATGAATTAATTAACTGCGTATTATACGTATATATTCTTAAATATCATGTACAAACTACAAAGGGTGATTCTTTTTTTTTACGACTGAAATTTCAAATATGTTCTAAAAAGTTGACTTATTTAAGCAATTAAAAAAAATCACCCTCTTACATTTAAATTTTTTTCTAGAAAACTTGCAAAGAGAAAATTTTGAAAATTTTCCAAGAATAAGAGGAAAATGAGGAGCTCATTTTACGAAAATTTCAAAATTTTTCAGTAAAAAATTAATCCAGGAAAAATTTTGAAAAACTCACTTTTCAGCAAAATTAAGGAGAATTGGACGGCATTAAGCAGAAAGGAACCAACCCACAAAAAATTAAAATTTGAACCAATAATACATTTTGAATGTGGTTTAGGTATTAATTCTTTTCGCAAAAAAGAACCATGCATCAAATGGCCATTTCTTTAATAAAAACTACAAAAAAAAAATCCTAGAATGAAAATCACACTTTTCTATTTCATAGAAAGAAACCAAAAAAAGGTAGTCAAAAAATATATTATTCTTTATTTTGCAAAATGGATCCAATATACATTGGTTCCCTTTTTTAACATATTAACTTGTTAAAACCTGTCAGTTGAGTGCGTCTAGGCGAATAATATTGTTTAATGCGAATAATAAGGTTTTATGAAGTTTTTATGTTATAGTGGGTAGTACGAAAGCGTAGAACTGCCATGCTAATATTGAAAAATATTTTTATGAAAATTGACAGTTTTTCTGTTAATTTACACTTTTTCTGTAAATTTACACTTTTTTTGTAAATTTAGTTAAAAGTTAGGGTTAGTTTGGGTTAGCTTGAAGACATTTCCAACCTTACCAATACTAACCCGGTTAGTTTGGGTTACTTTGCACTTTTAATCAGACATCACCAAACTTACCGATAATTACCCGGTTAGTTTGCAATTTTATTCAAACATTCCCAAATTTACCTATAATAAACCAGTTAGTTTGGGTTAGTATGCAATTTTATTTACAACAACATACGTAATGTTGACATTTCTGACTTTTCAAAAGTTCCAAAGTGGTACTTTTTTGAATTTTACTATCCTTCCGGGTGAAAAATGGTCCCGGGTGGAAAGTACTTACTTTCCACCCCGGGTGGAAAGTAAGCCTTCATTTCCTAAAATGTTAAAGACAAGTCCTGCATGTCAAACGTTTTAGATAAGTCCGAACTTGTCAACAAATTTTTAAACATTTTTATTTAGTATTTAGTCGAAAATTGTGATGGTTGTAATTGTTGTAAATAATAGTATAATATACAGGGTGTCCACTTAGTGCGATATCGGACAATATCTCCTTACAGGGTGATGCAAGAAAAAAAAATTATATTACAAAGTTGTTTGATACTCTAATATGCATTAGTTAAAAATATTTTTTAATATACATGGTGCTCCGTTTATAGGGTATGCGACAGAGCTTTGTTAATTTTAATGGAACACCCTGTATGTGATTGCATATTTAGATTCTACGTAAAATTCCGAGCAGATTTCATGTGATAAACCCTATACCTAAGTTCAACTGTTTTGGAAAAATTGACAGTTGAAAATTGACTTTTTGCAACTTTGAGAAGCTGTAAAACCTAAACGGTTAATTTTAGACGATTTTACATTCCTATTTCAGATTTTTAAAAATTCCAGTTAAATTTAATCTCCGGTTAAATTCAAAGTTGGTGTCAAATGATAGTTTATGAAAATCTAAAATAGGAATGCTAAATCGGTTTTTGTCTAAATTCAACCGTTTAGGTTTCACAGCCTGTCAAATTTGCAAAAAGTCAATTTTCAACTGTCAATATTTCCAAAACAGTTGAACTTAGGTATAGGGTATATTACATAAAATCTGCTCAGAATTTTACGTAGAATCCAAATATGCAATCACATACAGTGTTCTATTTGAAATAACAAAGTTCTGACGCATACCCTATTAACGAAGCACCCTGTATATTCAAAAATATTTTTAACTAATGCATATTAGAGCATCAAACAACTTTGTAATTTAAATTTTTTTTCTTGCATCACCCCTCGCATCACCCTGTAAAGAGATATCGTCCGATATCGCACTAAGTGGACACCCTGTATAATAAGTGTGGTAACTAGGTTATTACCGCACGCGAGAGAAATTTGCAAACCAAGCCGGTGAGACGAGGTTTGCATTCTCTAAGAACGGTAATAATCTAATTAACATAGGTATTAAATACAGTATTTTATCTACAACCGTGCGGTAACAAAATATTCGGAAGAAGTTTGGAAAATTATGAAAAAAAAAATCGCGTCTGTCACCCATTGACAGTGGACATTGGACAAGTAGAATTTAGGTGATAGGTAGGTAATTTATCTCTGGTAGGTAATTCAAGCGTGCAGTAATAACATTACCGCACGCCGTGCGGTAATTTGGTACTTACCGCACGCAAAATCGTGTAATATACCTTAGTTACCGCACGCTTGTAGATAAAATAGTATACAAACCTCAGTAGGAAGTTTTATTCCTGTCTCGAGATTATAGTTGACTTCGACGCTTTGCGCCTCAGTTAACTAACTAATCTCTCGACAGTAATGAAACACTTCCCACCTCGGTATGTAATATACTGATATTCAGCTATTTACAAACTCACCAATAATAACCCGGTTAATTTGAAATTTCAATCAGACATATAAACTTACCGATAATAACCCGGTTAGTTTAAGTTAGTTTTTAATTTTAATTAGGCATATCCAAACTTACCTACCTATAATTTGCCTATAACAACCCGGTTAGTTTGGGTTACTTGCAATTTTAATCAGACTCATGAATAATAGCCCAGTTAGTTTGCAGTTTTAAAAAGACATTACCAAATTTACCGATAATAACCCGGTTAGTTTGTTTTAGTTGGCTGTTCCAAACTTACCGATGATAACTCGGTTAGTATGGGTTATTCTGCAATTTTAGTCTGACATTACCAACAATAATAACAATAACCTGGTTAGTTTGGATAAGTTTGCAATTTTTATCAATCCTCTATGTATGTTCAATTCAATTCAAAATACAAATTTCGATTTTCTTCCGAACGCTGTTATTTCGAGAATAAACCTTTTCGAAGACGCTTATTTCAAATAACCTTTCTTTCAAAATTCAATAATTTTGAAAATATTTATATTTTTCGAAAACGCTTATTTCGAAAATCAATAATTTGGAAAACATAATGTTATTGTTTGATTAAAATCGCACACTAACCCAAACTAACCGGGTTATTATCGTTAAAAGTTTATTAATATTGAAACTGCAAACTCACCGGGTTATTATCGGTAAGTTTGGTGATGTCTGATTAAAATTGCAAACTAACCCAAACTAACCCTAACTAACAACTTACAGAAAAAGTGTAAGTTTTCATAAAAATATTTTAATATTAGCATGGCAGTTCTACGCTTTCGTAGGGTAGTGCTGAAAAAGTGCAAAATTCATCATTTTATCATGTCACGCCGTGGAAAGCGATTACTTGAATTAGCCCTCAAAAAATACGAAGGTAAATATCACAATAATTATGATTATCTGTTCTGGAATTCATGCAAAATTATATTTCTTTATTTTGAAACAACAGTTGGAGCGTTTATGCAACAGAAGGATATCCATTCAATCAACCTTTTTCATTATGGGTGCTTAGATTATGTAGGAATTTTCTTATGTTGCATAGCTCAATGTACCAACGGTGCATCTAGTTATGTCTACAATCAACCTTTTTTTTAGATGATAAATTGTTAAATTTGTCAAGCACCTCATCAGAGAATTACAATGATTATTCTATGTCAGGTACCGAGGTGTCTGATAGTGTGATAGGCCAAGGTAAGTGAAACAGAATAGAGTTACTTATTTATCATATTTTTAATAAGGGAATTTATGTTGTAGCAGGAGACTTTGGAAACAATCAATATACTCCAGATTTAACTGAAGCATCTAACGAATCGATTCGCATGAAATCGGATAATATTTTACAAGGATGTGGAAGCTCGCGTGGAACAGAATCAGTTCTAGATAAAAGCCAAGGTAAGTATAGCAAAATAGAATTACTTACTTGTCATATTTTTAAAATGGGAAATTATGTTGTAACAGAAGACTTTGGAAGCAATCAATATACTCCAGATTTAACTGAAGTATCTAACAAATCGATTAGCATCAAATCGGATAATATTGCACAGGGATGTGGAACTTCGCCTGGAAGAGAATCAGTCTTAGATGAAAGCCAAGGTAAGTATAGTGGAATAGAATTACTGATTTCTTATATTTTTAAAATGGGAATTTATGTTGTAGCAGAAGACTTTGGAAGCAATCAATTTACTCCAGATTTAACTGAAGTATCTAACGAATCGATTCGCATCAAATCAGATAATATTCCACAAGGATGGAACAGAATCAGTTTTAGATGAAAGCAAAGTATTTGTTTATAATTCTGACACATCTTCTTGGATTGATATTGAAGCGCTTCAGCAAGCAACTTTGTGTCAATCCCCATCTTTAGAAAACATAATGGGATTGGACAATATTCTAGATACGCCGATTGTGGAGAGCTGCGAGTTTCACAACCAAGTACAAACATCAGAAAATTTTGTAGTAGAGCATATGAGTTATCTTCAGGACGAAATTGAATATGAAAAAACAGATCCAGATTATGGTCCAACCATAAGCAACCAGAAAGAGTCTGATGTAAATTCAGATAATGATCCTGAGGTTCTTGTAGTGACCGCTAATAATACTCCAGTTAGAACTACCAGAGATACAACTTTGCAATCGTTGGAAAATATAATAGTGCTGGATAATATCCAAGATATGCCGGTTGAGGAGAGTTTCGAGTTTCGCCATCAATTACCAAGACCAGAACATTTCGAGAAAGAGCATATGAGTGATTTTGAAGATGAAAATCTTGAAAATAGAACAGATCCAGATTATCAGAACGAATCTGATGCAAGTTCAGATAATGATCCTGAGGCTGTTGTAGTGTCCGATAATAATACTCTGAATAAAACCACCAGAACTTCCAGAGGAAGAAAACGAAAATTTGAAATGCAAACAAACGTTACAGCAAAAAAATTAAGAAATAGTAACAAAGAATATTATAATTATAAAGGCAAGCTTGTTAAACAAAAATGTTTTCAAGATTTTCAGTGCCCCTGTAAAGCAGAATGCCACAATAAAGTTGGACAAGATGTAAGAGAGGAAGAATTTAAGAGGCCAGCAACAAATTCAAGCGCGCGAAATTCATTCTTTGTCGCCGAGTTCAAAGTAGGACCGTGATAGACGACGTTACGGCAAATATTTCCGAGATAACGGAAGGGTGTGATCAAATTGCATGGAAGGTGAATAATAAATCCTATGGGCTTTTGTGGAGGCAAAACTATACACCTATCATATTTAATCTAAATTAAAAAGTATACAGTTATAATAATAGTTTTATAATTTACATTGTGCTTTTTATTTAACAAATAAGAATGTGGAAAATGAAATGTGCGGAAACACAAAAATATATTACAAAGATAATAAAATTTACCTATACAAATACAGCAAAATAGATACTTGAAATGTTTACACAAAAAAAAAGTGAGGTGGCGTAGTTACGAGGGTGGGAGAGATGATGTTTATTCGTTTATTACATAAAGAACTTCCAGAAAACCTAGAAAAATAATAAACATTGGTGAGATTGCTCATGAAAACCTCGGACACATCGATTTTTGATTTCAGTTGCCGTTTTTCTGATGGTAATATCATGTATACAGGGTGACCCAGAAACAAGTTGTGACCGCTAACTTTATTTTTTTAAATCAAAACATTAATTTTGAAGTGAAAACTTCTTTAGAATCGTTGGGAGTGATGTGAGACTCGATGAAACGAAAAAGCGACATGACACTTTTTTAACACGCTTATATTAACACACAACAAGAACCTGGAACAAGCCAAGTGAGCTGGAACAAGTCTGGAAAATGTCTGGATAAATCTGGATGAAGTCTGGAAAAGTCTGGAAATCTCTGGAAACGTCTGGAAAGAGCTTGGAAATTTCTGGAAAGGAAAAATTCTGCCAAAGGTCCCAAAAGACCTGGGGATCATTCTCCAGAATCCGGATCAGTCTGTACAAGTCTGGATAAGGTCTGGATAAATCTGGATTAAGTCTGTAAAACTCTGGATAAGTCTGGATATTGTCTGGAAAAGTTTGGAAACATCTGGAAAAGACTTGGAAATTTCTGGAAAGGGTTGGAAAAATTCTGAAAAAGGTCCCAAAAGACCTGGGGATCATTTTCCAGAATCCGGATCAGTCTGAACAAATCTGGATAAAGTCTGGATTAATCTGGATGAAGTCTGGAAAATTCTGGATAAGTCTGGATAATGTCTGGAAATCTCTGGAAACGTCTGGAAAAGGCCTGGAAATTTCTTGAAGGGGTCGGAAAAATTCTGGAAAAGGTCCCAAAAGACCTGGGGATCATTTTCCAGTATCCGAATCAGTCTGAACAAGTCTGGATAAATCTGGATGGAATCTGGAAAACTCTGGGGAGCTCTGAATAAGTCTGGATAATGTCTTGAAAAGTCTGGAAATCTCTGGGGCTGACACGCTATTATAATACATCGAACTAAAAAGTGAAAAATAAATGTATTTTAAAAAAACTAAAAAACACGCTTTTATAGTAAATTGAACTAAAAAGTGAAAAATAATTTTTAATAGAAACAGAAAATATTAATGAACAAAAAATATTAGAATTATTGTCAAAAAAGCGTGGGGTGCTCAATGTATGAAAAATGTGGAACAAAGCACCCCAGCGTGTATTTTAGTTTTTTCAAACTATATTTATTTGCGTTCTTTCTCAAGTCTTTTGGAGGGGGGGACGCCAGTGTGTATGTTAGTATGTGTGTAATGCATGCAGTTCCATGAAGGTTTCACTTCTACCGGGTGTGAACTGCACAGGATTTTTTTTAATTTCATTTCTTATTTCTACGTTACATTCTGAACTTATTTAATGTATCAAGTCCTATACCTATCTTCAACTGTTTCGGAAATAATAAGAGTTGAAAATTTACTTTTTTGCAACTTTGACAGGCTTTAAAACCGGAACGGTTGATTTTAGAGCTAAACCGATCATACATTCTTATCTGAGTTTTCCATGAACTATCATTTGACACCAGCTTGGAAATTAATCCAAGATTAAAAATTCCATTGCTTGAGTTGTATTTTAGCTATTTTTGGGTTTGAAAAAAGGACGGTTCTAGAACGGTTCAAAACAATCGCACAGTTTATTATTGAAATTTGTGATAGCTGAACCGTTGTCATTTAGTTGATTGATGAACTGTGCGATTGTTTTGAACCGTTCTAGAACCGTCCTTTTTTCGAACCCGAAAAGAGCTTTTATGAGAGAATTTCATGAATCAAAAATTTAAATTTTTTGTCAAAAAATGTTAAAACACCAGTGTCGCGCCAATTATCGCGTGAAGCCTAATTCTCACTTCTGCGAGATTCGCTCTTTTTTGACATTGCTTCAATAATTTGACGTTTGATACACGCATAAAACGTAAATCAACAATCAAAACATGTCAGTTTATTGTTGGAATGTCAGTTTTGACAGATGTATGAAATTCTAAATGTCGAGTGCAATGGAAATTGTCGATAATTTTTGGGAAATTTGCCCGGATGCATTTTTAGTTAAAAAGGAGCACCAGTGCTTTTTCAGTGCCCATTTCTGTCAAAAACGCAAGAGTGCAAATTTGTCAAAAATTGAAAATATATTTCCATTGCACGAGTTGTACAGGGTGGCCCGTTTAAGAGGGGCCTATACCTTATCTCGAAATCTACGAGGGCTGCAAAAAAAAATTAAATACAAAAGTTGTTTCTAATAAAATTATCTAAATTTTTTTTGCATTGTTTTTGTTGTTACTCTACTATATACAGGGTGGAGAGATAAAATTTAATTTTTTTTAATGAAACACCCTATATATTTCAAAACACTTTCATATAGCCCTTTGAAAGACAAATCCAACGATATACTTGACATGTGTCTGTGATAAACCGTTTCGAACTTATTAGCGATAATCTTCAGGATCTGGGGTAATTTCAAACAGGCATTATTACGTTACTCATAAACTTTTAAAACTTTTTTTTGCATGCTATTTTTCATAAAATAATGCTCTTCTTTAGACTATTTTGAAATTTGGAATATTTGTTCAAAAAACGCCGTGTTGCCACGTTTCGCAAAATGTTACGCTTTTCAATTTTTTTAAATGGGACCTCCTGTAAATTTTCGAATTTTTGGATAGCCCTTTAAAATACAAATTCAACGATATACTGGAAATGGGTTTGTGATGCACCGTTTCGGCCTTATTGGCGATTATCTTCAGTTCTAGCACCATATTTTATGTCATCCCTGTTGAATAAAGAAAATGTCTAATTTTGCAGTAGATTAGCTGAAATAGTGCTCTTTATTATTATTATTCATTCAGAAGTAGTTAAGAAAAGACGTTTAAGTTTTTGTTTTCATTAGTTTCTCGCCTTAATAATGGGGAGAAATTTTGACTACTCTTTGAACAAATGATAATAAAAAAATATTTCGCAAATTATTTAATAATACCTACTGCAATAAACTATAGTTGCAGTAAACAAGGAAAGCATTGAATTATAAAGTCCAAAATAAAGGTTACTGATTAAGATTATATGAACAAACATTTTGAGAACTTCAACTTCAGGCTAACTATAAAATTAATTTAATTAAATTCTCTATGTCCGCCATTTTCAACAATACAGGTAATATATCTTACTTGTAAATGTGTTATCGCATTTAACACGTAATTAGGTTGATCTGACAAATATAGCAACAGAGCGTCACGTTTCATTTTTTGTTTTTATCCAAATTTCTCGCCTTTTTTATTTTAATAATGGGGAGAAACTTTGACTACTTTTTGAATAAATAATAATAATAAAAAGCACTATTTCATCTAATCTAATGCAAAATTGGACATTGTTTTTTATTCATCAGGGATGACATGAAATATTGTGCTAGAACTGAAGATAATCGCCAATCAGGCCAAAATGGGTGCATCACAGACCCATGTCCAGTATATCGTTGAATTTGTATTTTAAAAGGCTATCCAAAAATTCGAAAATTTACAGGATGTCCCATTTAAAAAAAATTGAAAAGCGTAACATTTTGCTAAATTTCAGTATAGTCTAAAAAAGAGCATCATTTTATAAAAAATATCACGCAAAAAAAAAGTTTCAAAAGTTTATGAGTAACGTAACAATGCCTGTTCAAAATTACCCTGAATCCCTGAAGATAATCGCTAATAAGTTCGAAACGGTTTATCACAGACACATGTCCAGTATATCGTTGGATTTGTCTTTCAAAGGGTTATGTAAAAGTGTATTACGATATAGGGTGTTCCATTTAAAAAAATTAAATTTTATCTCTCCACCCTGTATACAAGTACAGTAACAACAAAAACAATGAAAAAAAAATTTAGATAATTTTATTAGAAACAACTTTTGTATTTAATTTTTTTTTACAACCCTTGTAGATTTCGAGATAAGGTATAGGCCCCTCTTAAACGGGCCACCCTGTACAGTGTTTCCGCTTCAGTTCGCAACATATGGGAAACTTTTTTATTATCAATTTTACAAAAAAAAGTTATTGTTTATGAAAGTTTCTGCTTCTTGAAAAAATATATAGTATTAAACTATTTAAACTTAGAATAGCATGTACCGGGTGTTCTTTTATCTTTGATATCATTTTGATCACCTGTAACTTTTTTGTTTTCAAAGATATCAAGGTAAACAAAAAAACAAAATGTAGGATTAATAGCCAAGTTTTTTTTCAAGTTACACATGAAACAAAACATCAAAACACTATCAATTTTTCGAGATATAAGCCTACATTATATTTTTTTTATTTTGGTTTCATATCGAAGTCTTTTCGACACTAAAAGTAGTTTCGAAAAGAAGCTCTTTGTGACACTCCTTTTTCACTTATCGGAAGTTGGTAACACTGGCTGACTGATGGCCATCGCACTGTCATTCTCGATTTTATAGAAGATTTAGGGCGAGTATTATAAAACTGCTTTGACAGTTAACTTAAAGTTAACTTTTTGAATGACATGTAATTTCAAAAATTAACTTTAAGTTAACTCTCAAAGT